GTAACAGATAGGCTACTTAGCTCTGCTCAGAAGCAAAGCTAAGTAAGGTAGCCATGTTCATACAGTTCAGAGAGGCACAGCTAGTTTAATGATGTGGGCACAGCTCTGAACAGGAAGCAGTGTGACTATCTCCTAATTTAGAGGCCTTATAGCTGTTTTCCTGTGGTCTCAGACAGCATTGTACTGCATCCTCTCAACAGATACATGGGGGCAGTAAGAAGGTTGACCTTTTGGAGTCGTACATTAAGGTTCACTATTAGGCTCCTACTTTTGGAAAGCCCTGTGCACAGGTTTAGTATTTGTTTCTTACTCTTTCCTAAATAGAGAGTAGTTAGCTGTGTTTTCTAGACAACCACACTAACAGCAGCTGCCAATGTCATGGCTGAAATCCTAGTCTGGGGAGGGGGAGGAAGGGAACCTCGAGCAGCTGGGACTTGTACAACTGGATGGTCCGCACTACCCTCGACCCAGCCCTGAGAAGAACACCGTAGCACTGCTCTGGGACCAGGATTTTCAAAGTCAGAGCGAAACCCTATTTCACAGAGTCCTTAGGGATACACATCCCAGAAATTCAGAACTGTCCTGGAAAATCCAGCATGCTTTGTCTCTTTCCTTAATGGGGAACTTCTGCATACAACTTCTGAGGGCCACGTGGCATGGGGTTGTTTTTGGAGGGGGTGTGTGTTTGAAGCAATGTCTCCTTCAGTGAGAGTGCTCTTAGGAGTCAAGTGATGGGAGGTGTTTTCAGGATTCTGGCTCAGCATTGTTTTGCATTGATGCAACTATGCCTTGAAGCTGTCACCTCTCACAAAACGGAGACGCAAACAGTGAAATTTCGCACTTCAAAACCGATTTACACCAAACAGCTGAATGAGTTTCTTCCTAGCAAGCAAGTCACAAAGGTAGGAGCTAGCTGTGGCTCTAGTGGGGAAGAGTGGGCACGCGGGCACATGGAGGGAAAGATTTTTGGCATGATCTCTGAGGCAAGGATTTTAAAGTGGTATCTAGGACCTGAACAAGGGTTTCGGTACCCACAAGCTTGTCTGAGTCCATCCCAACCTTGCCATGGGTCATGGGGGGGGGTGTGTGTGCAGTAATATCTAGGACCTGAGCATAGGTGACATGTAGGTGGGACATGGGGGGTTTGTGCCCCCCCCAACAACACTCATGCCACCCTGACAGCGAACGATCTGGCTGGTAGGGGGCACATATGAGGTGCGTTGCTGGTAGGGGGGCACAGAGCAGGTGCGTTGCGGGTAGGGGGGCACTTCCGCCACCACTGTGCCGCTGGCACACTCAGTGACCAGCTGCTGGACGGACCCCCCTCCCCCAGACTTGGGCGGGCACCAGTCACCCGTTGACCTGCGCAAAGGTACTGTGGCACCCACAAGCTTGTCTGACTTCACCCCAACCCTGCCATGGGTCCTGGCTGTGCATGTGCAGCTGCACACATGGCCTGGCAGGACACACATGGCGGGTACCTGCATTAGCACAATGTGGCGCTGCGCTGAGGGGGGCGAGCAGCCCTGGAGCTTCGCTGGACCATGGGCAACTACAAAGTGCCCCCACAGCCGCCCCCCTAGTGCTGGGACAGTCAAGTCTCTCAAGCCACTGCCCCCTGGGGACTGCAGCCGACCCCAGCCGCCACGCCTGGCGGGGATGGAGGCCCTCGGGGCCAGGCTGTGTGTGGGGAGTGGGAAACCGCGGAGAATCCACCCCCTTTACGGGCTCCATGCCCGGGCGCACAACAAAGAGGGGCGGGCGCAGCAGCCCCTCCCCCGCCGCGCGCCGGGCGCTAGGGGCGGGGCCTG